CGAGACCTTTTGCCATTTCATCTCCTCGGACCCCAGCGGAGTTGAGCTGTTTCAGCACCTTTGGGGAGAACAAGACTCGTCAGAGCTGAACCGTCCGGGTCTGATTTCATGCTCAGTCTGTTAAACTGTTCTAGATACCCAGAGCAAAGACAAATGAGTCTAAACTCAGATGTGTGTAAATTGAGAGTAACTGTATTAAATGCAACAGGATTGAACTGTTTGGAGTGAGATCCGAATCAGGCCACAACACAGGGCAGTAGCAAGGGGCGGGTGAGAGGCAGGCGCCAGCGAAATGCCGAAAGTCCTGATTCTCCTCCTGCCTTCTACCTGAATGAGCAAGTGAGAGGAGAATCAGAGCCAAAATGTTCCTTCAAGCTCTTCAATGATAACCAGTGAGTGGGGGATAAAAGACAGCAATGAGACAAGATGTCCTTGTGTACCGCCGTAGGGGACTCTAAGCAGTTGCTGGTCCTGCACATTTGGACTCCCAGTCAGGTTCGTATCTGGAGAGACTCCAGACTTCAGGATTTTAATTGTTTTCCCTTTGTTTGTTTTCTGGACCTTTTCCATCTGCTTCCTAGCAGGTCTGGGACTTTTCCCTTTGTTCCCCATACAGAGGATGGAATTAGGGGAGAGGTTTCATTTCCTCCGGAAGAGCTCCTACCCATTTTTAAAGTATATGTAATCCATTTTTTTTTTTTTAGTGAAAATAAGCCTCCTTTATCAAAATATCTGCCGTCTAAAAAAAAGATTTCAAATTTCCACCTGTAGATTGATCACTTGGAGACAGAGGTAGAGAATAAGTGATCTGAGAGATGCCTTTGTATCCAACCTGAAAAAATAATTCAGCCAAATTCTGTGGCTTGAGTTTTTCAGGGAATAAAATAAGATGTGCGTACTGATTTTAAATGAATTGTTCAAGCCTAAAAATGTCCCCAAAAGGTCTGTTTTTGGTGGTAGTTAAAGAGAATCCACTTCTATGCTTGTACTTTGTGTGCGCAACACGTAGCTCGAGGAGGATGGTCTTATCCTGTGATAAGTGTATTTATAGGATATTTTTCAGGGTGCACTTTTGGGACTTATTTTTCATACAGCTGTGTTTGTTGTTTCAAATTAGGAAATGCTGAAATGTAGCAAGAATTCAGAAGGCACCGCTGAACTGGAAGAAGCTCTGGCCACAATGCTTGATATTATCAAGTCTGTCAATGACTCTATGCATCAGATAGCGATCACGGGATATGAGGTAACGTCATTTATCAGCACCCTGACCAACTCTAGTTGGTTGCGCCTGTCACAGTTGCATATTGCAGAAGCCTGGCTTACCGATTGTTTAAATGATAGCCTTGCCAAATAACTGCCCTGACAGAAAATCACGTGGTGAGATATTGTGGTAACCAAACCTAAATGTCAAAACTTCACTCAAACAAAATATGTAGAGAGAGGGAGCCCAACCTGATGTATTCCTCTGAACCACGGAGCTTGACCCTGACACTTGGAAATGGAAGAAGTTAGGCTTGGCTGGTCCAAGATAAGGAATTGGTTGAAGGCTGTAGATGATTCTGGGCAGATGAGAAACATACTGGACCGCTAGTCATCACTGGGGAAAAGCTGGTTTACATATAAACAAGGCAGTGGAAACTCACTGTAGCTGGAGGCCTATCTGCCTCAAGTGCATTAACAAGAATACCCACAGTCCCAAGGAAGTGGTCAGATACATCCTTTCTGTGACTCTACTCATGTCAGTTGAGTTACTTCTGCAATTTCTCACCCATAGCTTCTCATTGTGGACAAAATCCACAATGAGAAGTGGATCACTAAAGAAGGGTAGAAATGACTGCAACATGAGAAAGAACTCCAGTTGAAACCATGACTGTTATTGGGTGTCATTCAGTGAAGTGAAGATTGACGGGGTATATGATTACCATTTAGAAGTATTTAAAATGTGCAGACCCCAAAGACAAACATTGTTTAATCTGATTTAAGGAACTGTAAGGAAGTGTAATGAGTTTAATTTAAACTCATTGGACCAAGTTGCCAAGTATGTTTTTAACCGTTCTAATTTCCATCATTCTGTCATTCATAATTTCACCAGTTAAGTGCACGTCTGATAGAGAAGAGCAGTGGACGATATTGTGATGTGAGCTACACCTCCGTGTCAGCAGTGCTGAACGCAGGGTGGAATTAGAATTGCACAGCGGTGTGTCGTAGGTCCTGATGGAAGGGCTCCTATAGCTCATGTCACAAGGCTTTTGGAGCAGGATTATCTTAGTCGTAACCCTGCTATAGCCATGAAGGTCCAGGTACCTGTGGTGAGCAGGATGCAGAGCAACGATAATGATGTCCGTGGGTGCTGTGCATTTGTTACCCTAGCCAGCACATCCATTATTTTTCTCTCCCAGGGGTACAGAGGAACAGCACTAAGTCTTAATTCTAGTTAAGCCTTCAAAGCCCAGAGAATTTATCTGTAGCATATCATCTTGGCCAAAAGGCCGTGAAGCTTCTGCTTTTGCTGCATGTGCTACACAGTTTACTGAACAAAGGTGAATTTTACTTAGTCCCTTGACAGACTCCAGGGTCACTGTTGAGCAGTTAGAAAGGGAATTGTTTTAATTACTCTACTGTATCTTTGAGCTGAAAGGCCACGTTTACATCAATAATGCAACAGGAATTACCTCGTCCCATCAGTAATTTGTGGAGTGCTCAAATTTACCATTGCTTGGGGATGTCCAATGTATTCGCCTTTATTGGCTGAACAATTACCTCTGAATGAGTTTGTTAATTATTAAATTCCTCATATCCAGCATTCTGTAATCTCTCTGCTTTGCAGATTGAAAGGATTTTCAAGAAGATATCAGTACTGGACCTTATTCTAACAGGGATAATAAATATAATACACACTTTTGAATCTTCATTCAAAGAGGGATATAATATGTGACACAAAATGATAGGATGCGACTTAAAATAGATCCAGCCAGTTTTACTTTCACACTTTATGGACTTGACTCCTGTTTTCTTGGAAGTGGGAGGGCTTCTTTTCATTTCTCCAATAGTTAACTAAAAGTCAGAGAGGTCAGGATTTCCTCAGAAAGGTTTCTGTTTCTGGGAAAAGCTGTTTCCTTTGCAGTCGTGTAAACAAGATGCTGGGCCTATCTGTATTCAGCATTAGGTTTTTGCAAAACCCTTTTGCAGAATCTTTGGAGCCAGACCTCACCTGATGCAACCACTCAGGTGAAATGGTTAACTGAATTTATAGCTTTTGCTGTAACTGAATTTATAGCTTGCTGTAGCACCTACAGCAGGACTGCAGCAGTGACTGCAGCAACTGGTGCTGGTTGAACCTGCTCTTAATATCACTGAAGTAATGAAGGGTTCATTAGAGTCGGTGCAAAAGACTGGGTTTTCCTTGACTTTTTCACTTGGGTTTGAATCATAGAATCATAGAAAATGAGGGTTGGAAGGGACCTCAGGAGGTCACATCTAGTCCCATCCCCTGCTTAAAGCAGGACCATCCTCAACTAGATCATCCCAGCCAAAGCTTTGTCTAGCCGGGTTTTGAACACCTCCAAGGATGGAGCTTCCACCACCTCTCTGGGTAACCTGTTCCAGTGTTTTACTACCCTCCTAGTGAGAAAATTCTTCCTAATATCCAACCTAAACTTCCCTTGGCTTGGTTGGAGTCCTTTCAGTTTTACCTCTTCAGGGCTTTAGAGGTGAGCAGTTCTCCTTCAACTTCCAGTATGGCTTGTGGGATTCTCCCAAAGCTTTGCAAGCAATGGGTGATTCTTAAAGATTCTCCCATTTGCCCTGAATAAGCTCCCTTTGGCACACAATGCTGCCATTGGCCTGCCGAGCAGCTCAGGTCTTCGCAAATTCTTTGGTCCCTTTCCCACGCTAGCTCCCCATCCACAACACAGATTCCAGGTCTTTGTCCTGATGTTCAGAGCTCTCTGTGGGATTGGCCCAAATGAACAAAAAGCATTTCTGTCTCTGCAACCATCACCCCTCACCCCAATTACACTGCATTTGGGACCAAGGCTTGAACCTGACTATGTCTTCCTCCTCTCCTCTTGCTCCTCTCCCATAGGGTGATGTGAATGAGCTTGGTAAGCTGCTGATGCAGGGCTCCTTCAATGTCTGGACTGACCACAAGAAGGGTCACAACAAGGTGAAGGACTTGGCAAGGTTCAAGCCAATGCAAAGGCATCTCTTTCTCTATGCCAAGATGCTGCTCTTCTGCAAGAAACGGGAGGAAAACACCGATGGCCATGAGAAGACACCTTCCTACAGCTTTAAAAACTCATTAAAGGTAACAAACTTGGCATGGAGAGGCAGGAAAGGGATAATCCACTAACTTCTAATCTCTGTAGCTGTAAATAGCTCTATTACTCTCTGGCTTCAGTCGATGGAAGCTTTGCTACAGATGTCATGTTGTGTTATCAAAGTAGCTGCAAATGAACTGCAGAGTACACGGCAAATCTTACAATTGACAGAAGTGATGCTTCAACCTATGAATTAAGGCTTTGTTTATTAACAGGAGTTTCTCTATCAGGCCAGATTTTCCCTCTGAGCACTTTGATGTGCTCCTTTAGATGTCACTAGTAACACCTGATTCCATGTTTAAGTGTATAAGGCTCCGGTCTGCTATACATACACTATTCATCCTGCTTGGTTTTGAAGCAATCATTGCCCAAAGAAAGTACAAATCATCCCAAATGTGATTAGTGTAAATGCTTGAAGCTTATCTCGGAAGAGATTACGTTGCTGCTGCTGGTGGTGCTGCTATTAATACACAGGATAAATAATATTATGGTAAAGCCTAAGGAACATATTGGGTCTGAAACCCCATTGTTCTCCAGTCAGGATTTAGGCATTGTATCAGGACATGACTCCTGCTGCAAAGAGCTTGAAAATCTAATTTTAAGGCACAAACAAGTGTGACAGGGCACTGGGGTGCTCCTGTCCCTTTAGGAGGAGAAGCTGCTGGGGTGCTCCTGTCCCTTTAGGAGGAGGCAGCTTGCAGGTGTAGAAGGGAGGCTGATTAAGAACTCTCCTGACCTGAAGGAGGCTGAGCTTCAGCCGTAAAAGCCCAGAGCCTGAGCCCTGAGAGCCATGAAGGTAGGAGCTCCTGGCAGCAGTGCAGCAGGGCTGCTAACCTGACAGGAGAACTGGGCAAGCAACTCTGTGAGTCTGGGAACAGGGGGAGTTTTGTGGGGCAGAGAAAGGCTGTTTATGCAGGCAGGTGACCTTTATTTTATGGTAAAACCAGAGAGGGTTTGGGGGTCTGCCAGAAACCTTTTTTTTTAAATTAAGTTGCACTGGTGGTTTAGTCTTGAGCCCTGCTGGAGCAGGCTCAAGGTTTACTCAGAGAACCAGTAGCCCAGAGAGGGTCTGCATGTGAGACCAGAGGGTCCAAGACCCCAGAGATGTCCATGAGCCCAGAGAGGGTCTGAATGTGGGACCAGGAGGTCTGCAAGCCCAGAGGAGGGGCTATAGCCAGAGACTACCAAGGCCAGGGAGCTTGGTAAATCCAACTGGCCCAGGGGTAGGGCCAGGCCCCAGGAGGGGCCAAAGATCTGGAAGGGGCCACAGCTGGAGATTGATTCTAGGGGGGCAAGTCAGGTCAGAGAGCATGGAGGTCTCAAGTGGCCTGAGGGTGGGACCAGAATCTAGGAGGGACCAGACCCTGGGAGCCTGGAGACCTTGACTGGCTCAGGAGTGGGGCCAGGGCCCGGGTGGGGCCAAAGGTCCAAGAGGGGCCAGCACCAGGGACTGGTACAGTCAAAGACCCACAGTTAGGGAGGCTGGAGCCTAGAAGCTAGGTTTGATACCATGGGCCTGGGCTAAAAGGCCCAGCAAGAGTATAGGAAGAGGAGGCTGGTAAAGCCAATTGCCCTACCAGGCAAAGGACAGTACAGTAACACTTGCAAGACCTAGGCCATAGTGTAGGGGAGGAGGGACCCCCACACAATGAGCTCGTAAGGCTACAGGTGTCCTAGAGGGGTGCAGACACTCAAGTAGCCCTTAAAGCAGAGGTGGGCAATTATTTTGGGTGGAAGGCAGTTTACCGAATTCTGGCAAGCTGTCGAGGGCTGCATGGGTAGCCACACCACTTGACAGGTTCCCCGCCCTCTGGTTACCATCTTGTGACTGGAAACCCCGCCCCCTAACACCTGACCTTTGCCACTAGAAGTCCCTCCCCTTGCCTGTGGAAGTACTCCTTTCAGCAAGGGGTTTTGCCATCTCAGAACCAGAAAAATACCAAATTATATTCTAAAAACCAAACATCTAAAACATTCATTAATTTGATTTCAAAAACATTTTTGTTCTGGTTTACATGTGTTTGTGTAGTGCACATAGAGGTGATTGTATATCGTAGCTTAAAATGAAGTCTTGCTCTTGTATATTGTGGGGGGTATAGGTTTGTGGGGGGCTGTGAGTGTGTGGGTATGTGGGGGTGGGGGAGGGTATGCCTGTGGGGAGGGGATAGGGGTGGGGGGGGGGTGGGGTTTGTGGGTGGGGAGGGTGGCTAGAGTATATGAGGGGGTGTTGGGGTCTGCATGTATGGCAGTGCAAGTGGGGTGTGGGTGCATGTTTGTGGGACACACACACACACACACAGTCCCTCCCTATGCATATACACACATACACAGTCCCTCCCTACACTGCCCACCCCGGGGTATTTGTGTGGCCCTGTGCTTCCCCATCTGGCGATGCAGCTGGGAGCCATGTGGTGCTGGAGCAGTATGGGAGCAGGAGGGCAGGAAAATGGCTGGGGGTTGAGACTGGGCTGGGCTTCTACCTTCTGCTGATGGGTCCTACTGCCCCTGGTTACTGTCATCTTTGACAGGCAGCCAGGAGCAGATAAATATTAATTTTCTAAGTTTTTGGGGGGCCCCACAGGCTGGATACAATGGCCTGGAGGGCTGGATGTGGCCCATGGTCCATATTTTGCCCACCCCTGTCTTAAAGCTACAGGTGCCTTGCATGGCCGAGAGGGCCCATTGAACTTAAGGGTTGAATCAAGACTTTTGGGGTCTGGTAGAGACCTGGTGGTGACTTAAATGAACTGAGGCTCTCTCTAAGGCCCATGGACAGCCTCCCTTATTCACCCTTTAGTAGAAACAAGGTGTGGTGGGTGAGCAATTGAGGGAGGGCTCCATTAGAGACTGAGCCAAGCAGGAGACTCAAGGCCCCCAGGGGGCATCACAGCTGCCCCTGGGGATTGAATCCTGTCACACCACCCAAATGAGTTGAACAAAAAATAAGAAATGGGAGGGGGAGAGGAGAAGAGATACAACAGGGAGAAGAAGAGCCTCTGCCTGCCTGGTGCCCTGCCCTCAGTGCCTGGCTTCTCTGCAAGGAGGTAAGCACTGTAACAAATAAAATAGTTTTTGAGATGGAGTGCTCTTCATTTCACAAAAGTTATGGAGGGATGCCTTGAGTCATGCAAGGGGCGTCTCGAGTCCAAAAAACGTTGAAAACTACTGGGTCGGACACTAAACTCTTTATGGCTGGCAGTGTCTCCTAAGTGTGTTTGCACACTACTTCCCACAGGTGGGCACTGATTTCAGTTGGGACCCAGAGGCATTTTTAGAATATGAAAAATAAATAACAGGAATATGTTCAAATTGTTCCTTAAGACTGAGTACTTTGGGGCACGTTTGCAGAGCACAATGTGACCCTGGACCATGACTGGGACACAAAGATGTTACAGCAATAGAAACAAAATATAAATAACGTGCAGCTTTGCTGGTGCCCAAATGCATGCAAAAATATATTTTACTATTTTTAAATATATTTATAATCTTTTGTCTTCCCTGCTTCCTGTTGTGCTTGAAACTTATCTACTATCCTTGGCAGACAATAGATGATTTATAATCTTGGTGTACAGAGTGTACTGTACGTGAAAGAATGCCAACTGGTGCTCTTTGCATCTGGGTGTAGACAGTAGAGCTGGACATCCTGACATCTTGAAGTCAGTTTTCCTTTTGAATCATATTATGTGCATATTATGCATGACTTACCACTGTCCTACTAACAGGTCATGAAATCAAGTAAAAATATTAAACGTGGAAAACCAAAATTAAAATTTTGAAACAAAGTGTCACTATTCCCCTAAACAAACCTGTTTCTCATGAAAACATTCAAATTTGTATAATCATTTCAAATTCAATTTTGAAAACTTTTGCAGGAAATGCCATGGAAGATGGTATGATTTAGCCAAAAAACTTCATCTTTGTTCAAACAGCATTTTCTGATGAATAAAGTTTTCAACAAAAAAATTCTGATAAACTCTAATGGGAAGGTGTCTTCTGTACAGCAGATTCTCTGTCTATATGCTGTAGCTCAGGGGTGAGGAACCATGAATTTTGCATTACATGCCATGCTGTAAGGTACAAAGAATCGCCCTCATTGTAGGCAACAATCTAGCATTATTGTTTAGCAACCAAGCATGCATAAATAGGGAAATACAGAATTATTGAACACTCGACTCTAACCCTCTTCCTCTTGTGTGTATATGCCTTAAAATATGGCCTCACTTTCCACCATTTCATGTAACCTGCCTTAATGCAGGTCAGGGGGAAAACTCAAATGATAACTTGAGCTAAAAATGCATTGAAGAGAAATTGTTAAATCAGCATTTTATAACAAATGCATTGCTTCTCAATGTTGTCTGGATTTTGTTACAGCAAAATATCAACAGGCAAAAAGATACAGAGATGATTACGTTGATTTAAAAAAAAAAATTGGAGCCTATTGGTATTTTATACATTCTCAAAAGTTATCCAGGAGACGGCATGCTGGGAATTAATTGAAAAAAAAATCAACATTTTCCAAATTTGACAATTCTCTTTTTTTAATGTTGAAACAGATGAGTACCGTCGGCATCACGGAGAATGTAAAGGGTGATAACAAGAAGTTTGAGATCTGGTATAATGGCAGGGAGGAGGTCTATATCATTCAGGTAAGGCTCATGCTTTCCTATGACTTCTTTCCCGCTGGTGTTCTCTCCACCAAGGGTGTGATTTCTGGCTGTACTGTATTCTGGAGTCGACTGGTCTGGTAGTGCGAGAGGAAACTGGACAGTGATTCTAATGTTATTCCTTTCCTCAAAATAAACTCATTAACAAAATGTAAATCGACTCAAACAAGAAGTGGAATTTGGAGCCTCTCTCTTGGCCGTGCTCTTGGAACAGTAAGTTTATCTTAGAGGAAATTGTCAGGACTTTAGCATGGATGAAAAAGAAAACAGTAGCGTGGAAAATGTCTTGGGCGGCCAGATTGGATCTTGAAGTTCCCATTGTTCTTTTTCAATGTGATTAATATTTTTCACCTTGAAAAATGCCCTTTTGCTTGTTTTGTTTTTTTTCTTTATCCAGTCCTGGTTAGAGGGGATTAGTACAAGGCAAAACTAAAAACAAATTTTATCTAATGCCATCACAGGATTGATTAGATTGATTGCCTCCTTGATTAGACCTGCTTTGTGTTCTCCTCTGTTTACAGGCATCTTCTGTTGAGCTGAAAAACATCTGGGTTTCTGAGATTCGGAAGGTCCTAACAGGACAGCTGGAAGCATGCAGAGGTAGGACACAGAGTGAGTGTGTGATGTTGAACTCGCCTTTTACCCAGTATTCAGCAGTGGGGAGAGATGAATTACTGAATGGATTTGTGCCCATGCAGTCAGCAAGAGCAAGGTTCAAAATAATTTTTTGAGTGAAATACATTATTGCATTTGGGCATGTTTGAAACAGCGAAGGACCTGTCCCGTGAGGAGAGGAAGGATGGTGCGGTGATTTGGGCGCCTGTCTTGGATCCCAGGACACCCGGGTTCAGTTTCCTGCTCTGCCACAGACTCATGTGACCTTAGGCAAGTCTTTAACGGCTAAATCCTACATGGCTTTAGGCATCCAAATGGCACATAGGCAGCCACAAAACTGCAATTCTCAGCATTTCTGCAAAATCTGTCATTTAGCTCTGTGTGTGCCCATTGAGCATGCTTAGTGGGGCTGTGCAGCGAAATAGGATCGTGAAGGCACATGCATAAGGCTAGGTAAGTCCTGCAATTTCAGTCACAGAAAAAACAGCAAGGAAAGAAGAGAACCCAGTAACTTATTAAGCAGCCAAGAGAGGGAAAGCTATGAGGCTGGGAGAAAGCAAACAAGTCAGACAGTGTGTGGATCAGTGAGACGGGTTCTAGCCTGGGTCCTTGTTCCTAATGGGGTAGAAACTTTCCTAGTGCTTTTATCCATTAATTGGGCAAGATGCAGTGGGCCAGCTCAAGAGGAGGACTGGGAAGAAGTCTGACCAATACTTTGCTGCCTGGTGCTTAGAGCACTTTGCTGAGAAGCAGGTTCACAGCCATGGTGAGTAAGGGGTCTCTAGAATCAAGGTCTTCTGCCCCCTGGCAAGTACCCTGCACTGGCTCTTGGGTTAAAAGGTGGGAGGGCCCCCTTCTTCCCTTTCCCCCCAACAGGTTCATGCACGCAGTGATTCTGTTTTGCCACAGGATGAAATAAAATCTCAAACCATGCGTAAGTGTCCGTTCTGCAGCGCATGTGCCCTGGTTGTGTAAAATGAATTGGGGTTTAACCCTTAGTCTCTCTATCTCGGCATAAATGGAAAAAGTAGCAATCCACAACCCAACTGGGAGATTGTGAGGACAATTACATTAAAAATGGCAAGGTGCTCGGGTACTGCAGTAATGGGGCTGTAGAAGTACCTAAGATATTGTTACTCTCTGGCAACCTAAGCTTCTAGCCAAAATATAAGACCTTGTAGACTGTCCCCAGGGTCAGAGACACAGGCATGGGCAAACTGGGTGGCTGCTGAGGGCCTGGACAGAAATGGGGCCCAAAAATGGTAATTTTTGATGATTAGTATCATGATCTCTGGCAAAGGGGAGCCCAAGACTAAACGTTTGCTGGGGGCTGCCAGGAGTCTAGGTACACTGCTGGCTGTTCCAGGTGGAAGAAGGAATTGGTAGTGGAGTCAGGTTCTTCTGATGCAGCTCTGGTTACATACAAAGATGCACAGAGCCCTGCCTCCTTGAAGATGGAGGGATTCAAGCTACCAGGGACCGTTTCTCTGCTTAGAGCTGCACCTCTGACAAGCAGCACCTTCAAGCACAAGCCCACTCTCTGGGCATCTCCTGAGTGATGGATAGTTCAGGGTCTTTTCTCAGTCTTTCCATACCCTGTCACTGCTTCTCCATCTGAATGGGCGCGCACACACACGCACACCAATGGTCTGCACAGCCCCTCTGCTCCCACAGCTCAGATTCCCGAGTAGAGTCATGTGTGTCCTTGGTTTGAGTGGAGAAGTGCTGTTACACCGGTTGTTACACTAAATTTTAACAGTGCGGGCGGGAGAGACTGATCAGTGAGACCAGTTTTATTGGGATACGCAATAGCAAACACTTTCTTTTTTTGTATTGGTAAAGACAATGCTTACGTAGCTTTCTGTTCCGGGAAGAAATCGGTCCACTGGCTAGGTTTTTCTGTTCCCCTTGGGACTTGCATTGGTTCACTGAGCTTCAGAGAAGTCTGAGGGTTTGGGTTTGCTTTTTTTTAGCCTTGGCCTATATTTATAACTAACTGGTTTTCATATTTTAATAAATGGTCTCGGATTGGCTTTATTTAAATTTCTTTGTTTCACTGAAACCTTTAGAACCGGCTTGAACTAGATCTTTTGTCAGCTAGGAGGGCTTGGGGAAGTACAAAGGGAGGTCTTCTTATCCCCTTTTCGTAACTCTGACCTGTTACTACTTTCCTCTAGTTTACGGTCTTCTCTGACAAGGCTGCTTTGTTTCTACAAATCATCTAAACATTTTAATAAAAATAGATCTATTATAGTAAAATAACATTGAATATATTTGGTTACACACTACTTCTAATATTGTAAGATAGATCCATAATAAATTGTTTAATTATGTTTTGTTAAATGCGTTGATGGCATTTCTTGGCTAAATTAGTTGCTACATCAGCAAAAATTCACACTTGGGTCACTCAGGCACAGGCTCTGTTTCTGAGCCACACTTTGCAGCTTGTCATTGCTACATAGGTTAAGCTTAGGCACAGAAGCATGGCTTACAGTGCCTGTGCTTTGGGTTTGGAGACTGCTATTCTTTCAGCTATCTGCTGAATGACCTTCTTCAGTGAAGGGACGTAGTTACATTCACTACTCTGTGAGGTTTAACGCATCTTTATAATAGCATGAACTTATATATGGGTGTGTGTACACATGCAGTGATGGTTTCTGGGCACACTATTTGAACATGCACCCAGGACGGGAACATGTTGAGCTGGGTTGGAGCAGCCCCAGCTGGCAGGGGGCTCTGGGGGTCAGTCTACCAGCCTGGGGCTGCTCCTTCTCAGCTCAGTGTGCTGTCAAGGGCTTGGCTGGGCACAAGGGTGCTCCAGTGCGAGGCTAGCTGGCAGGCAGCCCTTGCACTGAAGCACCCTTGTGCCCCAGCCAACTGCATCAGTTTCTACATGTGCACTGCTGCACGTGTAAACTCCACAGGAGGATAGTGCTTATATATATTTACAAGTACTAACCTGCTGGGCATGTCTACACATATATTTACGTGCATCTAAACTTAATGCACCTTTGCTTAAGGCTCATTAAGGTGACTTAAGTGGACATCTACATGTGGATGTGCTAAAGGGCATTAAATTTAGGTGCGAATACCTAAGTCGCATTAGCGCATGTGCAGATGTGCTAATGCGCATTAATGTATGTGTACATCCATTGATGCACACCACGTTAGTGCACATTAGCGCATCTACATGTGCACTGTGACTTGGCTATTAGTGCCTAAATTTGATACCAGCTTTATGCAGGTATCAAATTTAGGCTCACACGGCCTTAAATCACCATTTATTAAGATGCATTAAGGGTATGCACGTGTAGACATGCACCCTTAATGTGCCTTTAAAAATGGAGATTTTAAGCTAAGCCTGCTTAAAGGAGGCACGTGTAGACATGCCCGCTGAGGGGTTTTAGTTTTCTGCAGCCTATTACGGCCACACATGTAGACACTGAGACATTTACTGTGGAGCTAATTAGGCAGCTCTGCAGTTCACATCTTGTGTAGATGCTATATGTGTCTGTGTATATATGTGCACACACACACACGTGTGTATCTATCTACACGTGTGTAATATGTGTGTGTTTGTAGATATGTATTTATTACTTATTTTTAAATATTTTCATTAAACCTTGTGACTCTATGTAATGCAGATTGCACAATGAGATACTATTGGTTTCTCCCTGACAATCTGTCCTGTTTTATCTCCAATTCAACATGCCATAGGAACAGGATAAAATCAAGCAAAAAATAAAATGGGTAAGAAAAAGGATAGTCAGTTAAAAAAATTAATGGGGCAAAACTTCTTTTGCTGAAAAATGCAATTCGGTCAGATGCTTTGTGGCTGCAGCTGGCCCTGGTTGGCAGAGTCCTAGCTAATGCTACTTAGCCAAAAAAAAAAAAAGCAGTGTCAGATCTCTGCACTGCAGTGAGAAGGCCAATATGGGATGGCTTAGGTGACTGAAGAGCAGAGGGTGCACCTGACCCTGATCAACAGAGCAGCACTCAGACAACTAACTGGGTGTCCGTGGGAGGCATGCTGGGGTAGGGGGTACCAGCCATACTGGCAGCCTGGTACCCTCGCTCATTGTTGCACCATCCTTCTGGGTTGGAACAGTAGCACACATCTGGGAACAACCTGGACAGTGTCACACAAGTGCCTACTCCGTTTCCACTGTGGCAGTGGAGTACCCATGACAAGGGCAGTGCGTAATGGGGACTCCTTGTTTGTCCCATGCCTCGCTCACTGACGGGGAGGATGCTTCTGCAGGGCCTTGCCAAAATGCAGCAGTGCCGTCAGCAGCCAGGATGCTATATGGCTATTTATATGCAGGAGGTGTTGCCTAATGGCAATATGGAAGCGACTTCGACATGCTGGAGCAGACAGAGGTGGCGATAACGTTCTGGTTCAGAAAGCCCAGGGAAGCACAGACAGGTGCCAGCCCTGATTTGTGACCCTGCCAGCTGCTCTTGAAGATGTCAGATGACAACCTACAGCATGTCGGGAAAGCCACAGAGCTGCTCCATGTGGTTAATGAATGGGCAGCCTAGTATTTCCTTTGCTTTTCCTGTGGAAAGGAGAACTGGAAGGCCAGCAGACCCACTTCCAGGGGGAGGGTGACACCACAGGGGATTCTCTGGTTTGACTCACCAAAATGGAAATATTTTTAGTCTCGGCTCCATGGATGAGCTCAGAAGTGAAAAGGAGTTTTGCAGGGAAGCTCTGAGAGGCTGGGTTGGGGAAGCCACGAGTGAGGCACGCAGGTTACCCATGTGATTGCCAGTAACACCCTTATAGTACGTGACCCGTCAGATACTCTGTAAGTGCCATGGATCTTATAGAAAAGACAGGGTGACTGCATGTAGGGGTTTTAAAAATAGGCATCGCTGGCAGCATTTTGTGTATCATGGTCCCTTCTCTCTGCCTGGAAAGCCAGGCTGCTTCATTCACTGCGAATCCCACTGTGCGGCACTCAGAGAGGGGGGGATGCCTACACAATGCATTACTGAAACTCTAAAAATCTCCTAAAATAGCTTTCCCTTATGCCATGATCCCCTGAATTCAGTGCTCCCTCTGGCAAGATTCAAGGCCAAAAAATAAAAGTTGTGTTCAGTGTTAATAAATTCTCATTTTTATTTTTCTAATGTCTCATTCCATGAGACATTCAACCTGTTTCTGGTCCGGGACTAGAGATTTTTCAACCTGTGGTTCACACCAGTGTAATCTGGGGAGAAAGGAGGACATTTTTTTTCCACCTCTGTCTGACAGTTTGTAATTGAAGCTGTTAGAAGCTGCCCAGGAGTTTAGGCTGCTGGCACTAACCAGTAGAGATGGGCAGAGGATAAGTGAGGGGACCAAAGGTATGGGATAAATAGGGTTTATCACTTAGATATCAAGGAATTCCTGCGTGACAAACACACGTCTTGGAGTACCATAGCGAACACGGCGCGTTAATATGGCTTTTATTGCACATTTCATCCATCGATCTCTGTGTGCGTTACAGAGAAGGGTCTGAACAACTGTCCCTCTTTTGCAGATAAGGAAATTAAGACACAGAGCTTATGTGATTTGTGTGAGATGGCACAGGTCTGTGGCACAGATAGGAATAAAGCATCATTCCTGACTTCTAAAATCCCTGCCTGATCCATGGGCTTGCACTCCCTTCTAGGATCAAATGGGGTATGAATCCCAAAGGGATTTTTTCTCCAGCACCCCCATGCACAAAAGACTTGGTGAAGAGTGGTCCTGTCTTGCCAGCCCAAGCCTGACCCCAGGGCAGAAACTCTCTTGCAATCTGATTTACTAGTACGTTCCAAAGTCAACACTATCTCATGGCTTCCCTAACCCAGTAGTGAGACCAAGGCTCCCATAATGTGGTACCTTTCCTTTGGCTTTGATGACTTTCATCTCAGCTGCACATGGGACCCCTCCCAGGTTTCAAGGGTGCTTGCTTCCAGGGATCTGGTTTGGAGCCTTCTTTACCTATGCGGAGAGCCCAGGCCCAGGTTTCCTTTCCATTGTCCTTTCTGTAGGTGCTGAAGGGAAATGACAAGTGCAATTTGGAGCTATTTTTTCTTTCTCTCTAACAGAAGCAAGCCAGCTACACCAAAGAATCACCGAGAGCGTTTACCATGCACCGATGAATTCCTCCAACATATCCAGGTAACTGAAGCCCCAAGTGAGGTTTTTCGTGGAGTGGAAGAGGGTGGAATAGGATCTCATTTAAGTGCCATAGAGGTGAACTAGAATTTAAGCCTTCTTGTTTTCAGCATCTTAAACCCATTTAGATGCAGATGGAGATTTGGGGCATGTACAACCCCAAATATATCAAAGCAAACCAAACACAAAAGACCAGAGTCTGGTTTTGTGCAAGAACCATCTGGCCGTCTGAATATTGCATGAGTTTAATCAGCACCAGGTTCAGGTGAAATTAGAACAAGATTCCCTGGCAGATTCATGGGCTTCAATGGGGCCTTCAGCAATGGTTTGTAAGGGAGCCTGGTGCTGGAAAGGTTTTGGGTGGATTCAGGATTCCTTGTAAGTATTTCCTGCAGCTCTTGATTGTTTTTAACATGATCAACCAAACCAGACGTTCTCCTGGGATATAACCAGGGCTGCTAGTGCTCTGCAGAACCATGTCGGAGACTTCAAACAGATGCAATCTTTGTTAATGCTGCTCCTTGATTTTCCAAGACCTGGATGTATTCCAGAGACAGTGCTTTGTGTATGATTTATGCAAGATGAAGATCTTTGGGCAAAAACACCCTGGGAGGAACAAAGAAAAAAAAAAATTCAGGGAGAAGTGAAATGCAAGAGAAAAATGGACCAAACCATGCCAGAACTGTTCAAATGAGAGAACTCTCAAGTTTTCAAAGCAGAAACACTAATCATAGTGTAACAGGGAGGCGAGAGTTAATTCCAGCAATCACGGGCCCCAAATTAGACATTTTAAATCAAATTTTAATTCAATGAACATTTAATATGTTTTATTTTAACTCAAAACCAACTAAACTGGTTAGTGAGGGACTGCACTGAGTGGGGTCCCTCAAGGCGCTGTCCTTGGACCTATATTGTTCAACCTCTTCATTAATGATGTGGACATTGGAGTCAGAAGTGGACTGGCCAAGTTCGCCGATGACACCAAACTCTGGGGTAAAGCATCCACACCTGAAGACAGGAGGGCGATCGAGGCTGACCTGGACAGGCTCAGCAAATAGGCAGACAAGAACCTGATGGTGTTTAACACTGAAAAATGCAAGGTTCTTCACCTTGGGAGGAAAAACCTGCAGCACTTTTATAGGCTCAGCAGTGCTACGCTGGTTAGCACTACAGATGAAAGGGACTTGAGGGTCAGGATTGACCACAGGATGAACATGAGCCTTCAGTGTGATGCTGCTGCTAGTAAAGCAAGCAAAACGCTGGCTTGCATCCATAGATGCTTCTCAAGAAAATCCCAGGACGTCATTCTCCCCTTGTACTCGGCCTTGGTGAGGCCGCAGCTGGAGTACTGCGTCCAGTTTTGGGCTCCACAATTCAGAAAGGATGTGGAGAAGCTTGAGAGGGTGCAGAGAAGAGCCACGCGCATGATCAGAGGTCAGGAAAACAGACCTTATGACGAGAGGCTGAGAGCCATGGGGCTCCTCAGCCTGGAAAAGCGCAGGCTCAGGGGTGATCTGGTGGCCACCTATAAGTTTATGAGGAGTGACCACCAGGATCTGGGAGAACATCTGTTCATGAGAGCGCCCCAAGGGATGACGAGGTCGAACGGTTATAAACTCCTGCAAGACTGTTTCAGGCTGGACATAAGGAAGAACTTCTTTACTATCCGAGCCCCCAAGGTCTGGAATAGCCTGCCGCCGGAGGTGGTTCAAGCACCTACTTTGAATGCCTTCAAGAGAAATCTGGATGTTTTTCTTGCTGGGATCCTATGACCCCAGCTGACTTCCTGCCCCTGGGGCAGGGGGCTGGACTCGAAGATCTTCCAAGGTCCCTTCCAGCCCTGATGTCTATGAAATCTATAAACTGAAGTTTAAAGTAAGCAGCAGATTGTCCTGACTGCACAATGTGTCCTAGGGAAACAGGTCCAAGTGCTCTTGGTCCATGCAGTCATGGCAGACTAGTGGATTACAAGGGGTGAGCAGGAAGACAGTGGCAAGCTCCATGAACAAGCAAGCTGCCATCTGCCCCCACTAGGTTTCCTATCTAAGGATACTGTGGTCCTCACCAGGACATGGGTCAGATGGAAATAAAGGGATGGAGATTAGGGAAGAAAAAATCACTAAATCCCTAGATGGGAAGGCATAGATCCAGCCTTTCCCTAGGTCTATAGAAGTCCTTCAGTGGCTATTTCTCACCATTGGGTTTCATGGGCTTTCGTGGGTGGTGCCAGAGGCAGGGAGGGTGGCTTCAAGAGGAAGTCTCACCCCCTGGCACCCTCCCGCATATAGGCCGGGCTGTGGCTATAACTCTATGACAAGACTGAGCAGCTCTGTGATTGGGAAAGAAATGCTAGTTAATTCAGTATCAGCAGAAAAGCAACCAGTATTGCTATTGTCTTGCCTGCGGTTTGAGGCTAATTAATGACTTCCATCCATGGAGCTCTTCTCCCCTGGAATTCTCATCATTAATACTGGAGCAGCGTTGGGTTCTCTACAGTAACGTGTGCACCTTTATTGCCCCATCGGTCTGTGTGGAGGCATAGCTGAGGTCTGGAGGCAGTGCACCTGCTTTCATCTCTTTGCATGCAGTCACACCGCTTAAGGGAGCAGGTCCATGAGATAAGGCAAGGTGAGGCTGGCTCTGTTTGGAGGGGAGGCCAAGGGGAACAGCAAGGTGCTGCATGTGGTAGTGCTAGTAACTTTGACAGCAGATGCCCTGCAGGGGCCAAGGTGTAGGTGGCCCCTGGGATCCCTCCTGCTCTCTGCTTGTGGTGCATTGTGGTGGAGGCCCACGGGTATTCAAAGGGTACGTCTGTTCAGCTTCCACTGGAGTGCCACTGAAGCACCCGCTTCCCAGTGCTCCTGTCCCAGGCATGCCAAAAATGGAAATAAGGAGGTGAAGCTGTTCCGTGGGCTTCACTCTCAAGCACAGCGGAGATAGAAATCTTGAGAGTGGGTGTGAGAATTGGCCTCAGAGCAAATTCACGGGCTCACTTCTGGGTTTGGTACATGCAAACTAGGTGCTGGGAGACAGTGGCAGAGACTCAGCACACTCCGGTTGCGGCTGCAGCTGCTGCGTGGGGCATGCTCAGGCTGTTACACACCGGTTGCATCACTCTGGTGCCCCCTCTAAATCAGCCGCTCGGGCTGGTGCCTCAGTCTCCCACCCCTAGGTCCACTACTGGCCTGGCAGGCTTGAGGATCGTGCTTCCAAGAGTTCAGTGAAGACATGCCCTACATTTTCTACACAGCAGTGGTTCCCAACCTTTTTAGCCTCAAGGTCCATCTCATTAGACTTAGCATCTCACCACCCCCCCCCCCCCCTAAAATGCCAACTCTTTGCTTTCATTTGTTTTTTTGGCTACAGATAAAACACTACAGCAATCTTCTGCTGCAAAGAGCTTGAGCCACAGCAGGTCAGAATGTTTTTGACCCTGTGGGTTCCTGTTTGAAATCTCTGGGTTTATCTTCTGCATCAGGTTTGCACACCAAAAATGCTAACGTTGCATAGCACCCTTAATAGGGTCTCACAGCTAAATGTTTCCTAAATGCCCTGTATAATAGGTAGGTGTTATCAGCTCCATTTGGTTATAAATCGCTCCTATAAGGTGTTAGGAGGTTTTTTGTGCCTTTTGGTGTGCTGGAGGGGCTAGTGTGGACCCTCTTGGACTTGATATGGATTACAAGGCTCCCTGAAGTGCAGGAGGTTGGGCTGTGAGACCCAGATGCGCCTTTCCAGTCCTATGCCTCTTAGGACTTCATTGGTAACAGCTCTTCCCTTTGGGTTGCAGCAGCAACAAAATGCCAGGGCACTGTGCTGACTTTCAGACGAGAAAGACAATTAATACCAGTAGCCTAGACATTTGGGATGATTACAGATTTCAGAACACTTTGCAAAAGCAGTGGTAGTTGCCTGAAGCCCATCTCTCTCCATTTAGATTTTGCTGACCTAAATTCTTGATTTCTCAGCAGCTTCGATATCTCCCCTAAATACTTGTGACCTCCTGTTGTCTATTGTTAAAGTGCAAAATACAGCAGGATTTCGCCTGCAAGGTGGCTGTATTTCAGTGACAGTGAAGTGATCTGTGTGTGTTCTTTCTGTATCTATTTAAGTCTATAAAACTGAAACTGGCTGCTGTGAACACATAACCTTTCATTTTCTGCAACCCATCAATGATTTATTCAGGCATCCAGGCATGCTCATCTGGAGTACACAGACAGATACCGTATTTTTCTAGCATGCAACAACTATGATCTACACCTTGTTAAAAAAAAAACAGAATAAAGAGGGAAAAAAAGGGAAATGCAGCGATTACTATATTTCCTATTTCCTCACTTAAGGCACCCCCCCCCTCCAATTTCCAGCAAATATATTATTTTTTTTGGAGAAAAGTGTGCAGTGTAGGCGAGAAAAATATGATATATAATCTGAGCACCACTTCTTTGAACTACTATTGTGGTTTTCTTGGAAATGCAGTTTAGAAACTGCTCAAGTGTTTCCTTGGTATCATTCTCACTCTCATAAATCTTTACCCTCTTCCTGTATTGGCCTGATTTTGCCATTACGTGAGCAGAGCAAGAGAGGAACCGTGAAACAATGGAAAAATTACCAGTATGGTTTGGCTTCTTCCCTTGTTTAATTCAAAAGGAATATGTACATTTTGTTTCTGACATCTAGCTGCAAAAGCAGATACACGTCTCTTCAAGGGAAAGTCTATAAACCATGGCTGATTTTCCAAAGCAAGCAGGTCAGATGGTCAGAAATAACAACTGGTGAAGCTCAAAAAGCCCAGTGATTTAAGAAATAAACGCACTCTATCACTCTTACACATTGGAAAGATTAAATATCACGATGTCCTTTTTTCCGTCACCCACGCAGTCTTTTCCGGTGTTGCAATAAAAGTGTCTGTCACTGCAAGCAACATAACTCCTGGAACATATCCATTATGAGGAAACCAGGTTAAAATGTTTCCGTGGATGAAATAATTCCCAATTACAACCTTGTGGATCCCGCGAAACATGGTAGTTTTAGAGACCTTTGGATTTTTGTGCTAAAGGGCCTAGTTTGTTATAAGGCATTTATGGGGCTTTGTGGCTTATGATGAGTAGGGGGATTCTCAAGGCACTTTCTCGACATCTGTGTATTGTTTCCTAAATGCCCTGTGTAATAGGTAGGTGTTATCAGCTCCATTTTAAATAGGGAGGAGCTGAGGCATACTGCAGACATGTGACCTTGCTACTAGGCATCTTAGGACTTCAAAATTTTCAAAGCAAAATTGACCCCGTTAGCTGTAGTTAAACTGGACATGAGGCAGTCCCTGACAATGCAGTGTTATTTGAGACACATTATCAGAAAGCAGAAGTCATTAGAAACCAAGGACTTGGATGCAAGAAGCTGTGACATATGGCTGGTCATCCAAGACCTAATTTCTGGAGCCAAACCTACCTATTCCCCAAGGAGTAGCAAGCCATGGGCCTCCTCTGTAATCCAGCTCCTAGAAGGACCGGTAGAAAACCCTGGAAGGAATCTCACAGGTATTTCATCTTTCCAGTTCCCCCTTGTGCATTTGTCATGAAAATGGGGTAAGCTGTCCACATCATATCCCTCTCTTCTATACAGATCAAGGGCATCACCTGGTAGCATCTGTTAGGGCAGGGAGTGGTTTAAGTCAGCCTGACCCATTATATACACAGCTTTTCTGGTACATGCAGTGCTTAAAAACCAGGTCCTTGTCCTTTGTTTCCTGAGGGGAGTCTTCCACATCTAATAATACTAATAAGCAACACTTAGCACTTACGTAGGCTTCACAACTTCTGAATACCATACTCCCATCAGTTAATCTCTTATACCACCCATATGAGCAAGTAGTATACTTAGGGTAGGTGGAAAGATATTATTAGGCCTGGACATCTGGCAACCCTTCACCTACATCAGCAGCTGCCAGATATTCAGCTACCGCCTTCCTCTTTTGTAAAGGAAGTTGTCTTCAGGAGACCGAGGCTCTTAACTTCTCTGGCAAACAGGGCAGATGGTCAAAAATAACGATTGCTGAGTCTCAAAAAGCCCAGTGATTCAAGAAATAAACTTACTTCATCGCAAACACCCTTACACATTTGAAAGATTAAATATCATGGTGTCCTTCACTGTCTCCGAAAAAATCATGGCCACTGTGCCATCTAAAGAAGTTAACATGCAGATGATTGAGAAGAGGATGGTCTAATCCCTGTGTGAATTAGATGTTGGTCTTATCTACCCTAGGCAGCTTCTGTAAGGTGAAGTACAAACAGTCAAAAAGCCTGAGGCTGAATTGATTCAGTCTTTGCAAGTTAGTCAAAGCTGCAAAGATTGAATCAATAAGCAAATGAACAGACATTCACTTTTGAGTCAACAAATGCAGCTACATGCCTGCAGTGGCTCAAGTTAGAAGCCGGGTGGTGCTACAGCATGGCTCTCTGGTGTTACCAGATTTGCCCATTACTTTGGGGTGTGCTTATTTATTAGGGATACATTTCTAGGGTCTCAGTAATTCTGTCAACGTGCTGCTTGTGTTTCTATATGGAGCTGTATCTCTCCCTTCTGCAAGCCCTCACCCCCAGTGGAGCTATCTTGCAGGACTCAGTCTCAATGAGGCTGGGTTCCTCCAGTCACCAAATCAGGCATACACACAAACACACACAGATTAACGTGACACGCCTGACCCGGCTGGGTTGATCAGCATGGACAGGCTGACACCCTTATATGCCACGAATCAGTTCATTAAGGTAACAATAAACTGCAGTCAGACACGAGCACACGGGTGAGCAGAATCCCTCTGAATCCGGCTCGGTGTCCAGCTGACACCCTCATGGGCCAGCATTCAGTTCATAAGGGCACATCCAAGTCAAACTGGGTCAATCAGCCTGTGCAAGCTGATCCCCTTATGTGTTTCAAACTCAGCACGTCCCAATCTTTGGCCTCTTGATAAGCAGACCCCACAGTATTTTTGGGCTACACAGGGATCTTTAGTTTAAGTAAAAGAAGCATTGCTGCAGAGCATGGGAGTAAAGAGAATCAGAGAAGGAAAAATATACCCAGTTACTACCGGTTTGACTATAAAAGTTATTTATTGCTAAGCATATGAAATATGTATAATGGTACTAATAGTAATAGCCATGTGAAGGAAAAACAAACACAAGCAATTACAATACTACCCTGGTTTCACTAAGTATTTGGGGAAACTTAGCTCAAGCTTAACTAATACAGTTCAGGTTCAGAAATTTATGCCTGGAGAGAAAAGAGAGAGAGAGCGCTGGGATCTCACCAGTCCAAGGTACTCAAGTCTCAAAGCTGACAGGTAAAATTCCTAGCACAGTCCTTGAAGGGAGACGATCTGTTCTTCCAGCATCCCAAGAACAACAGGGGATGGTGTCAGCACACGATTTTTCTTCTTGAAGCACACACACTGCTGCTTTTTTACAGATTTTTATACCCTCAGTTCAGCTGCTTCGAAGCATTCTCAATAGTGTAAATCATTGTCTTTTCTCTTGACAAGGGGTTATCTGGTTTGGAACATCTCAAGGCAGCATCAGGATTTTGGATTTTTACTTGTTGTGAACAAGCCTCAGCTTAGCATGACTTTTCCAGATCTTACTGTAGTCTTTTAACAGACTTAAGGCAATTATTGGAGTGTTCATAACCTTTGGGCAGGAAGACTTCCACCAGTCGACCTGGGAAAAGTATGACAACAATTGTGGTCAGGGCTCCAACGGGCTGGACGCTGTGATGAACTCTTTACCATTGTTCAAATGTTGCCCATACCCCCTCGGACTCAGTCTCTTGCCTCAGCATTCCCTAACCCTGCAACCGAGTTTTAGTCAATCAAGTTTAAATAGGCCTCCCATAGTGGGACCGGGGAATGTATGGCCTGAGATGCCTATTAAACTTAGAGGTGTGTGTGTGTCGGGGCGGGGGAAAGTCCTTTGTAAATCCAGATTAGAACTGGTCTGATAAATGCTGAGCTGGGTGTGTGTAAATGTGGGTTGATTAGCATTTGGAGCACAGATTCCCCATCATGCAGTGCTCCCCTGCTTCTCTGATCCCAGAATTCACTGCAGTCTCTGCTGCAGGCTTTCTGTTCTCCATCTCTCATGTAAATGAATGGTCATCTGGTTCCATCTCGGATGCAAATGAGACCTAGGGCAGTTGTTTCACTCTTGTCACCGTTATCTGGAGGGTCTTAGGTGCGTCTCCCACTGCATCTTGATCAGTTTCATTTATGTAGAGAAGGGGAGGGAGGGGGAATTCTTTGTGAGTCAGACAGACTGCATCCTGTGCCAGGTTGCCAAGAACACACAGCTGAGACATAACACTGGCATGTAGCCAGCATGGGCTGTGTGCTCATTTCCTCTTCCTGCTGCCCCCTGAGGTCGCTGGGATTCGCAGTCCACAATCACAGCAGCCGGACCCTGCAGGGCTGCTCATCGCTTCCTCTTTCTGCTTTCAGGTATGTCTGGGATGTGTAGTCCACAGTCGCTGCCAGCACTAAGCCAGCAGGGCAGGGCAGCTTCGTACTCAGGGGAAGGGAAGTTTATCCCTAGACCCCAGCAGGGGTTTGCCTGGGGGGCCAGTGAGCCAGCCCTCACTGCTCTGGCTAGGAGCAGAGGGATGGGGCCAGCCCTGCTCTCTGGAGCAGACAGTATAGCCCAACCCAGGGCTGGAAAATACTGGGATGCTGGGGGACTCAGATTTAACTTGAAGCAGGAAGGGGTCTAGGACAGCAGTTTCATAAACCTGTTTAACCTAAATCAGTTAAGTCCAATACTACATTGAACCAAGTTCATCTTAAACCAGTTTCAGTCATTTTGAAACTGGTTTATGTGCACTGAACTTGTATTCTGTTACAGGTTTAAACCAGTTTCTGATCACTTAAGCCAGTTTATGTGTAACTTCTGTCCCTAACCCAAGAGGGAAGCTACCAAAGAGTGTGCACGCTGGTGTGGTTCCTAGCAGATCCATACGACTGCCCTTAATCAGTCGTGTTGGCAGCGTGCCTTGAGCTGCACAGCTTCTAACGAGATTGTGGCAACTGGCAGAAGGTGCCAGCATGCCTTACACATCTTCTGCCAGCTGCTGGGCAGTGCCAGAAGTTTTTTGGTCAGAAATGAGAAAGAAGGGGTTCTTCTGCTCCACAGCAGCTTGGGGTGCAGACATGCACATGGTGTTGCTAGCAGAACTACATGGTGTAGACCAGGCCTTACTCTGGTAGCTGGTGTTTAGCTTTGTGCTCAGATCAGTGCAGTTCAATGGTATCAGAATCTCCTGAGTTTCTGGGTTTGAAACTTTGGTCCAAAATGTTGGAACTCACACAAGTTGGTGGTCTTATATCGACACCCTGTTGTGCCAGAACCTGGTGCAAACTCTTCTGTTTCTGACCCCCCCCACCCAAAATGGGCCCTCTCCTGCTTGGGATCTGACAGGGAACCACAAATATGTTGGTGGGTTTGGAGGTTGGTATCTGTATCCAAATTAAACCATTTTCCCCAAATTTGAGTGGGTTGAGATTTCAGGTTCTCACCTTGATCCATCTCTGGTTCCAGACAACTGGTGATAGTATAAGCAGTTGAGGTCAGTGTTCATATTGGTTGTAGGAGGAAAATGGAATGGAATTGGTATTTACACCACGGCCAGAATCCTACTGGGGCCAGTTTGCAAACAAAAAAGTTAAAAAGTCATTTTTTGGGTTCACGCAGCCTCCTTCCCGCCCTCAAGCTGTGAAACTTAAATATTGTTGGGGGGGGGGGGGGGGGGGGGGGGCGCAAAGGGTTTCAACTAACAAACCAGTTCTCTAAGTGTAGGTCAATAATCATGAGAGATTTTGTAAATTTGGTATGTTTTGGGCTCAGAAGTTATTAATGCAAAAGTTACTTTAGTTACTGGTTGACAACCTAACCACTGTTTCTTTTGTTCAAAGGTTTAGCAGGAAGTCGTCGAGTTTATACGAAAATAAATCTGAGACATCAAGCCTGGAGATGTCCAACAACAGGAACAGGAACTCCAGTCCCAGCACCAGACAAAAGAGAGGTAGGAGTTAGAGGTAGCAAGGAACATGACCCCCCCAGCAGGTGATTTTTGTATCCTTGCAGTACTAGCCATGAAATGTGACCTGGGTTACTTCCAAGGGACGTTGTTCAAAGGATTCAAGCACACCATTCAAATCATGCTTTTACAAAATGTCTGAGCAATACAGCTCGTTCCACTGTGATTTATTTTTCGTACCAATGAAGGCAGTTTGTTGGTTGGTTGAAAATGCAGCCTCCAGAATTTGCAACCTGCATAATGGGGTGTGACTTTTGTGCCTGAGAAGTGGAATGTAAATCTGTCCATAAACAGCGGCAAAACCGACTCCTCTATTCGTGGCGTTGAGAGTGAATACAAAATGGAAACAAACGGCGTGGATTGCATTTAGATTTTTTTTAAGTCTCTGCTTCAGTGATCTACGGGGCTAGCTAGCAATAGGACATCCTTTCTTGAAAAGATGATTTTGTTTTTACTTGACTCTGTCCTTTTTGTCTCTGTGCTGGATATCAGCCATGTTTAATTTAAAAAATGTTTAATGACTTTTAACAAATGGCTTTGTTTTATTTCAAAGGGATGCTTTTTATCGCTCGCTCGCTCTCTCAGCAGCATGTGTGGTCACTTGGACGTTCCTTGTATTTATCATAGAGAAGTACAGCAGATATATTTTATTCAGTGCAGGGCAAAGTAAACTTCACAAAATAAACCACTGATTCTTATGCCAAGAAGTATGCTGGCAGCAATCCAACAGGAAGCCACTGTCAGACAGAGCGTCCTCGTAAATATATATTTGTTTTAGGAATTAAAGGGAGGTAAATTTGAATAATAACCGAAAAAGAGCAACACATCCGAGTTTTATTTTCCCTAATGAAAACTGGCTTTCTACCAAAACAAAAAGCTTTGCAAAAAAATGCTGATTTTGGCCAAACTTTTTTTCTGGATTTTTGATGGAAAAAAAAAAAAAGTTCCTGAAATTTTCAATGTGAAAAGGTTTTAGTGTAAAAAAGATCTTTTTCCTGATAAAACATTGTGTTTTTTTCCCCATGAAAATTCTTCTAAAAACTGTCATAAGATGTTGGTTGAAAATCTTTTTTTTCCCCGTTTCTCGTTGAAATGTAATAATAATTTTCTCCAAAAACATTGTAATTTTGTAATTGTAATTTTGCGTTCAGCTCTGTTTCTAGCTGAATCGAGCTGCTTTCTCAGAATTTCCCAAGTTAGTCATCTTAGTTTCTGGCCTGGTAAGCAGCTCCCACTGACGTTAACTGGAGCGAAAGGTGTTTTGTGTGTTCGAACCCTACGGGTGAATCTCAGTTCTTCCATCTACCAATGAGTCCGTCATAGAGCTCCTGGTGGGAGCACGTCTCCTCACTTCAATCAGGAGCCCTGTCTTGGTACCCCAGTCCTTTCCATGTCCATGAAAGCTATTGGAGAGATGAGCAGTGAGTCCATCTTTGTAGGAGCCCAAGTTGGATCTGTGGGCTTCATTACTGGATAGTTAGCCCATGCGAGAAGGAAAAAAGGACACCTTCAGCTTTTCAGAATGGAAACAGGTAACTATTCTCATCACTTGAAATTCAAAGCTAGGCAGAGGGCCAGCAAAGAGCCCACGTACCACTCAAAAGTCCTACTTGCATCCTACGTTGAGGATCTACGTGAGCCTTAACTTGGTACATAGCATGCGACTCTCTGCTGGCCCACGGCAAAATGTCACCACTGCATATATGTGCAGTGACAGCCTATGCCAGGGCTCCTGGCATTGAGCACCAGGCGATGCTGCTAGATCAGGCAGGTTATATTGGTATGCTACAGGCAGTTGGCTACTAGGTTAAACAGTGTCTCGTCTCTGCCACATGCCGACTCCAGCCTTCAATTTTACATCATGTCAGTCTGAAATTATTTTCAGGTGTGGTTACTTCCTTCAGGTGTTATGGAAAAAAACAACAACCATGATTACTGGCAGTTATTATTTTAACTTCCTCACTCTTACAGATTTCCAAGAACTGCTCATTAGAATTAGGGCCTGTGATGAGAAGTCATCTGCATGTAGCGTAGCATTGTGCCTGGACCGGACTTTTAAATTGATTTAATCCACATGGAAGCTGGCTTACTGCAGTTTTTGCCTGCAGGAAAAAAATGAAAGCTTCATGGCTGTTCAAGGTGTTGTACTGTGCGGTAGGTCCAACTTGTAACCGGTGCATGGCACTGAGAAGCAAAGTGGGAGCTTGCAGTCAAAAAGCCCTAATGTGCATCTCAGCACGCGATATAACACATAGTTAAGGGCTTCATTTCTTTTTTCCCCTCTGTCCAGCTGAATTAAAACTTCATTGAGGTGAAAACCCACCATTTTAATTTTTTTTTTAAATGTGTCTTAGCATGTGGTCCTGAAGGCCTCTTGTGAACAAATTTGCTTGGCTTTTAAATAAGTGGACTGCAAAGGGACCTTAATTTCCAAGTTCTGGGCGTCTTTATAACCCGATCCTTTTGCATTCCTTGAGAGAGTCCTTTCAAAGTACACGCGGGATTATGGATCGTCTCTGTTGCCTAACCGCACGTCTGCCAAACAGGAAGTGATGGGATGCGCTTTTTTGGAACCACAGTCTATCTGTCCGTCACGTGTCAGTCTGGATATTAGTTGGATTCATTGTCTCTCCGTGTTTCCCTTGTATTTCAGGTCTTCATGTGTGTCTCCTTAGTGGTAATCACCTTGACAGCATGTGAAGCATTGTGTGTTGGCTCAGAGGCAGGAGAACTGGCTCCTGTGGCTTCTGCTCCTTGTTCTGCCGTATACTCCCCTTTGCGACCTGCCTGTTTTAGGGGGCAGGTGTGAAATTTGGCAGCTGTGTTTTGGGGTCAGGTCCATCCCTTTCATTATTATAGATGTGGGTAACTGGGCGTCTGCTCTTTTTGGAAGCCCAGGGTCACGGGATCCGGCCCCAACTACGACTTTTTGCTGCCACTGTAATTGTCAGGGAGCATGGGTGACTGGTATGAGAGTTTGATGGGTATGTCAATACATACACCCCCACCAATCAAGTAACGCAGTGACAGAGTATCATTGTAAGCCAGCCAAATAGCATGGAGGCTGTTGGAAAGACTCCAGCAGGTAAGGCTTAAATCACACCAAGCTCAGTGTTGATACCAAAGCGATGAATCAGTGCATGAAGGCTACAGATACTCCCATACTAGAAAGCTTCATCTCTTGTTTCTCACTGGAGCCATGGGCTACCCATTAAGAGCACAGTGATGCTTTTTCATGGCAGAAGGCATCAGATCTTCTTTTTTTTTTTAAAGTTAGCTTGCTACTGACCTGTCTTTTCCTTTGAGACTAGCTGCATCCCCTCATTTTTATTTATTTATTTATTTATTTTTGGTTTTATGCTCCATCGAAACTTGGTGAGCCAAAGTCTTCCCAGGTAGCACGCCATCAGCCTGTCCTGGGATCTACTTGGCTCAGCTATTTAACTTCCCTGGCTGCGTATCACCATTTTAATCGATTAACTGTTGCACAGGCTTGAACGTAACCCAAAGGATTTGTTTTGTCATCCCGCGCTAGCCTCTCCTTTCCCATAACCTGGGAGGTTGACCCTTCCTTCCTTATCTCTTTTTCCCTTTCCATCTCTCTCCTAGCTGATGCTTCTACCAGCCTTAACCTTGAGCACACAGCTCTCGCTAGAAAGCGATTCACATTACAAGGTCTTTCCAACCGCCGAGCTCCGCCCAAAGGTAAAATTGCCACATGCAGCATTTGGTCTCTGGCTGTCTATGTCCTGCCTGCAATCCCATGATGTTCTCTCCATCTCATTGTGCCATCCATCACTGCCTCCTACAGTGCTGCTGCATCCCATCAAAGCACACTTGTCCGATACACGCACACGTTGCACTTCTCAAAGACTCTTCCACAAAAAGGCCTCGTTGGGAGTATCAACAAAGGGGTGGTTGATGATGACACTTAGGCAAGTATAACTAACTAGGTCTGCAACAGTGAATTTTTTTTTTCTCTTTGTCTTTCTGAAGTTCACAGCTGTAAAAGAATCCAGTAAGCCAGACACACTTGCACGCACACACAACTAAAATAATCCTTCTTTGGTAGTGTATTGAGTGGGTGGAGGGGGGAAAGTCCAGTTACTGTGCACCATGCTGCCTTCTGAGTTGCTATGCTAAATTGTTCAATTTTTTAGGCATCACTTGGGTTGAAGGAGAAGCTTTGCTCAGAGACTGAGAAAGTTTGGGGTGGTTCACTCAGGGAACTGTCATCAGGAGGTGTGCAGCTTCGTCCATGTTACCTGACTTAATCAGGTCATTTCTCTGTGGGCCTCCTTCTCTTCCTCCATACAAGAGGGTGTTGTGAGTCTTAACGCACGAGTGCTTGGGAAAACTGTAAGATCTGAGGATAGAAGGCGCTATCTTAGGATTGCTGTGTCAGCAGGAGACCTTGGGAGGAAAAGAAGAGCAATATACAGGGAAGAAAATGAGCAATGAAGTCTGTGAGCAGTTGTCTGCCATGACTGTAATTCTGTTTTCTTTTGTTTCATACGTGATGTTTTCTTTCTAGGTCCACCTTGTGGTCAGAGGTGAGGTGAAGGGTAATGGAGGATTATTACCATCAGGACAGGGGAGATGTTGAGGAATAGACACCAAAGAGAAGGACTGCATTTAAAGCAGGGACGGGCAATTATTTCAGGCGGAGGGCTGCTTACTGAGTTTTGGCAAGCCATCGAGGGCCACATGACAGGCAGCCAGGGGCAGATAAATATTCATTTTCTAAATTTTGTAGGGGCCCCGCAGGCCAGGTAGAATGGCTTGGTGGGCTGCATCTTGCCCACCCCGATTTAAAGTGTGTCAGAGTAGAAGAGACCTCACCAAGAACCGAAGCAACCTCCTAGCTTTGACGCGGGGCCGAAGCAGCAGGAGAGGCAGGGTGCAGGCCACAGAGCCCAGTTCTGGACTTTGGGGGCAGGAAGGATGGTGGTTTGGAGACCTCAAGAAGCTGGCCGCATGTGTAG